TTATATTTATTACCTGTGTTTGTGTGAGCAGGATGTTGCATGTTTGTTATTTTTTCTTGGGTTTACTTTTTTCACTCAAGAAAGCCTTGTAATTAGATCCTAATTCATGACCTGTGACTGGCTGAAAGAGGGTTAAAAAGAAGAGAGCCAGTAACCCCACCTCACTTGGGCACAAAAATATGTGTAACCTAAGCCTCTTATGAAGGGTGCCACAGGTGAAATCCAAAGGAAATTCATGGTGAAGTGATCTTCTCAAAACTCAGTAATTATGGCAACCCAATGAAGTTCACCTGAAAATATAATGGGCTTCAATAGGGTCTGGACAAATCTTTTCAAGTCTAGTGCCATCTGTATTTCCAAGCTGGTTAACTGGCAGATGAGCCTTTCACCTCCCAATATGTGCACCTTTGGAATGTTTGTTTCTGTGGTATGAAAGCATTTCAACTTATAAATGCTGCTCTCTGATTTGGCAAACAATAAGTGTGATCAGTTTATTGGAAAATGCAACATTTAGTTAAACATGTGGAATATATTAGCTTTAAAATGTAAACTTTAGTCTGAAGAATATATGGGGCAAATGTCATTCTGTCGTTACATATATTAGTCAATATGGCTTTATGCATGGGAAATCGTGTCTCACTAACTTGAATGAGTTTTTTGAAGAAGTAATGAAGAGGATTGATGAGGGCAGAGTGGTGGAGGTGATCTATGTGGACTTCAGTAAGACGTTCAATAAGGTTCCTCATAGTAGACTGGTTAGCAAGGTTAGATCACATGGAATGGACAGAGAACTAGCCATTTGGATACCGAACTGGCTCAAAGATAGAAGACAGAAGGTGGTGGTGGAGGGTTGGTTTTCAGACTGGAGGCCTGTGACCAGTGGTGTGCCACAAAGTTCGGTGCTGGGTCCACTGTTTTTTGTCATTTATATAACTAATTTAAGACGTGAACTTAGGAGGTATGTTTGGTAAGTTTGCAGATGAGACCAAAATTGGAGGTGTTATGGACAGTGAAGAAGGTTACCTCAGAGTACAATGGGATCTTGATCAGATGGGCCAGTGGGTCAATAAGTGGCAGATGGAGTTTAATTTAGATAAATGTGAGATGCTGAATTTTGGTAAGGCAAATCAGGGCAGAATGGTAAGGTCCTGGGGAGTGTCGCTCAACAAGGAGACCTTAGGGTGCAGGTTCATAGTTCCTTGAAAGTGGAGTCACAGATATTTAGGATAGTGAAGAAGGCGTTTGGTACGCTTGCCTTTATTGGTCAATGCATTGAGTATAGGAGTTGGGAGGTCATGTTGCGGCTGTACAGTACATTGGTTAGGCCACTATTGGAATACTGTGTGCAATTCTGGTCTCCCTGCTATAGGAAGGATGTTGTGAAACTCAAAAGGGTTGATCCTACCGGAATCTAGGAACCTATATCCGTGCAGTCCAGAGATTGGGCTACAGTCAGTCCTGCAGATTAAGTGCAACCAGTTCAGGAATTACAGGTAGGTCAGACACAGTGCTGTGTTGACATCAGTTGTGGGGTTGGGCATTTTATGCTGCAATGGGGCACAAGGGTTGATTGAGGAAGTATGCTGAAAGTGGATAAAAGACCAGTTAGTGGTAAGGTAGGAAGAGACAAGGTGGTGAGATGCCCTCAGTGAATGAGAAGGAAGCATAAAGGAAGGAAGGTTTGACAGTTGGGAGGATTTGGCTGATAGCTGTTGAGTGGATGTGATACATGCAATAGTATGAGTTACAGTCTATGAAGCTTGGTGAGATGGGTGTGCAGTGGCAGAATTGGAATGAGTGAGGGCCCAGTGAGTGAGATAGCAGAGAGGAGATACGGCAATTTCTCTTGCAAAGTGCAGAATATTGTTAACCTTCTTATTAGACTGCTGGGTGCTCCTCTAAATTTGGGTCACAGCACTGACCCACATCTTGGATGACCACGTGCCTACACTGTCACTTGACAAGGCACTTTAACTGAAAATGGTAAAATTCAGCGTAAAATAATGTGTTAAAAAGATAACATATAAATCATACCTCTTTAGGATATCATAACATTGATCAAATATTTGCAAATATGAATCAGGTATTATTTGAAAAATAGACCTCAAAAGGTTGGGCTCATCACATGATTGCATGGTTCTTGTCTTACACATTTTTCATGCACGTTAGACAGAGAGCAAAGAAGATTTTCTTATGTAGATCCATTTATATGCAAGTATATATGGTACAAATATTCCTGTTATAAATGGTGATTGTTAACATTTATCACTACTTTAAATGAACATTAATCTTAGTTTTTATGATCTGCTAAACAGGTATCTCCTTAAACAACAATAACTATTTAATTAATTTAGAATCATAATGATATACAGCAAAGAAACAGATCCTTCAGTTAATTTCGTCCATGCAGACCAAATATCCTAAATTAATCTAGTCCCATTTGCCAGCATTTGGCCTGTATCCCTCTAAAGCCCTCCTATTCAGCCCTACTGTACTCCCTGTACACCTACAACTGTGTTGCCAAATTCCAAACAAACGCCATTGACAAGTGCGCTGACGACAACACCTTAGTGGGGTGGACATTTAACAACGACATGTCAAAGTACAGAAGGGAGATAGAGAGCTTGGTGATGTGGTGCAATGAAAACAATCTGTCTCTCAATGTTGGCAAAACTAAAGAACTGATCATCGACTTCAGAAAGAAAGGAGGAGAACACACCCCCATCTACATTAACGGAACTGAGTTTGAGAAGGTGAAGAGCATCAAGTTCCTCGGAGTGACAATAACCGACAATCTGTCCTGGACTTCCCATGTAGATGCGACAGTCAAGAAGGCAGAACAACACCTCTTCTTTCTCAGGCAGCTCAGGAAATTTGGCATATCCATACGGTCCCTCGCCAACTTCTACAGATGCACCATTGAAAGCAAACTGTCTGGGTGCATAATAGCCTGGTATGGTAATTGTTCTGACCAGGACCATAAGATACTACAGAAGGTGCACAGCTCAAACCATCATGGAACCCAATCTCCCATCCATGGACTCCATTAACACGGCCGTGGAAAGGCAGCCAACATCATCAAAGACCCATCGCACCCCGGTAACGATCTCCTACAACCTCTTCCGTCCGACAGAAGATACAGAAGCCTGAACACACGCACCAGCAGGTTCAGGAACAGCTTCTTTCTGGCTGTTGTCAGACTTCTGAATGGACTCCAGCCTCAAATAATGTAACCTGCAATGTAACCTGTATGCCTCTAAGTCTTTTTGATCTGTACATCCTTTCATTGCTGTGATCTGCCTGTACCGCTTGTAAACAAAGCTTTTCACTGTATTTCAGTACACATGACAATAAAATCAATCAATCAATCATGTACACATCCAAATACCTTTTAAATGTTGTTATTGTACCAGTCTCCACCACTTCTTCTGGCAGCTCATTCCATACACACACCATCTTTTGCATGAAGATGTTGCCCCTTAAGTCCCTTTTAAATCGTCCCCCCTCACCTTAAACTTATGCCTTCTCGTTTTGGACTCCCTTACCCTGGAGTAAAGATCTTGACTATTCACCCGATTTATGCCCTTCATGATTTTATAAATCTCTATAAGGTCACCTCTCAGCCTCTGACACTCCAGGAAAAATAGCCCCAGCTTATTTAGTCTTCCCCCACAGCTCAAACCCTTCATTCTTGGCAACGTTCTTGTACATCTTTATGGCACCTTTTCAAGTTTAACAACATCTGTCCTATAGCAGGGAGACCAGAACTGAAGGCAGTATTCCAAAAGTGGCCTCACCAAAGTCCTGTACAGCCACAACGTGACCTCCCAACTCCTATACTCAATGCGCTGACCAATAAAATCTATGCAGCAATATTTTTGATATATTAATGACTTTCTGCTTCAAAGAGAAAGGCAGAGTGAGAGAATTCCTTGAAGTACTTTAATACTCCTTCAAACAAACCTATAGCAACACATTTACTTTATAGTCACTTTAAAATTCTTTTATCTCTTCATCGTATAATTATTTTCTCATACAACTATTGAAATCAATTATTGCTCACGAAAATTTGAAGTGTTTTATTTCTTTGCCTTAATTTGAAGTTTTTTGCCTTTATTGCAAAGTGAATGGTATATAAAATAGGGAAGCCTTGCTAAAACTTTACAAGGTGCTAGTCTGACCACAGCTGGAATACTGCAAACTGTTTTGTTCCTTTTATCTGGGGAAGGATGTACTAGCATTGGCGACAGTCCAGAGAAGGTTCACTAGGTTGATTTCAAGTATGGAGAGTTTTCTTTTGAGGACAGATTGAATAGTCTCGGCTTGTACTGATTGGGTTTAGAAAAATGAAAGAAGACCATACTGATACATGAGATTCTTAGGGGGCTTGACAGGGTAGATGTGGAGAGGTTGTTTGTCTTGTGGGAGAGTCTAGGATCAGAATGTGTAACCTCAGAGTGAAAGGTTTCTCATTTAAGTCAATATGGAGGAATTTTTTTCCTTGGACTTTAGTGAATCCATGGAATTCTTCATTGTTAAGCTTAAGATAGTCAAATTCCTGATTGTCATGAAAGCAAGGAATATGGAGATAAAGCAGGAATGTGGAGTTGGGTATTCTGCTCCTACCCCTTTTGGTTTTATGGAAATATTAGCAGAATGGTGGTGGTGCAGAACACATCCATTTGACAGGGACTCTGAAAACAAAAAAATGCTCGAGATCACAGCGGGTCAGGCAGCATCCATGGAGAGAAAGCAAGCTAACGTTTCACGTTTAGCTGACTCTTAATCTGCCTGATCCCCTGTGATCTCCAGCATTTTTTGTTTTTAGTACAGATTCCAGCATCTGCAGTAATTTGCTCCTACATTGGCAGGGATATCCTGCTTGCTGTTCATGGATCATTCCATTCATCTAGTACACGAAAACAAGAGAATCTAAAGTGTTTTCTACTGCTAGAAAAGATAGTCAGAAAACAATATTGGGCAGTATGTGATTTATTGGGACAAACAACAAAACAATATAAGACTTTTTAACTGACCAGTTACACAGAAAGCCAGTCAAGGCACACACTTTGCTTTGTATAGGACACAGAATAATTGAAATATTAATCAGGATAGTCTAACTTCTAGGACATGTAAGACAAATAACATGAGAAAAACAGAATTCTGGTACTGGCACAAAAGAGAATTATAAATACAAATACAACACCTACAGATGAGATTAAAGACTATGTAGATTACAGTCATAAAATATTGTTGTTTTTACAAATATAAAATACTGAAGAAAGTAAATATGGCTAGTCATTTTGCTGCTGTCTTGTCTATATATATTGACCATAAGCCATGCTCTTCAGCAAGGTTTGTGGCATAGGCTAGCTCACAGTCATTGTCACAACAACTACCAGTGATGCTACATGTTGGCCAGGCAGAGTTTGTTTACAACACAATGGCATCCATTTGGCCTTTCTTTCTCTTTCCATGTGGAATGCTCTTTTGCTACAAGGCACTGCACGGAGTGTGTCAGCTAGCCCAATCCAAGAATCAGTCACTGGATTTAGCCTTTCACCAGTCTGTCCTAGTATTTCTACTCAGATGATAAATCAGAGGTTCAGCGGTCACAAAACTCTTTCTCTGCACGTTGTTCTGAAGAAACTGGTTCGCACAGAAATTCAAGGCAAATGTAATTGTAGCATCAAAGCAAGAATGATCAAATTTAACTACAAAGCATCAGAATTAATGGGATGAAATGGATGAGAACAACTTAGATATGATATGATGTTTCTTGTCGAACACAGCCTAGACAGACTGGATTAAAAATACTAGTGGAAGTTCCGTCTAGTAAATTGATATACCTACAAGATACAACCTACATAATACAACTAACAACCAACCAGTTCCAGAGACTTAAACTTTATAACCAGAATAAATACTCGATAACATTACAGAGAAATAGCCAAACTTTAAAATGATGACTCACAGTTAGCTTGAAAATGTAAATGATCAGAAAAGTAACATCAGAATAAAAAAAACTGCAAGAAAATAGTCAGTTAGCTTGTAACAACTTCCTCTATTTAAAGATGCGCAAACTATCTAGTTCCCAGTATTCGGCTGAGAATGTATGCGTAAAATTTCATCATTACATATTTCTGAAACTGGTGCACTAACACATGGTAAAGAATTCTTTAGTTCCCTTACAACCAGCATTTAAAATCATATACTCTTAAACTGAAGTAATAAATCATTCAATTACACAAACTTGGAAATTCAAATTTTTGTTGCTTCCTACAGGTTGAGAAGGAAATGCACAATTTGTTTCAGGTTGTTTTCACACGAAGTTAGACTCAGAGTAAGAATTCTATAAGCAACAAATGTTTAACACAAATTAGCAGGACTATTCATAACTACACATAAGGAAGCATTACATAACATGCCTTTCAGTTTATTGTTTAATGAACATTTTTAGTGCCTTTCCTACTACAATCCGTACTACAATCTGCAATACAACATACAAAGTAACTTATACATATTCTGATCAAGTTATAGTAAGGGAAGGCAATATGCAATTTCCATTTCAAATTTAAGCCCCTTACTTCTTGATGCAGTGGTACAGACACAGACTCTATGAAATCGAAAAGTACTGCTATGGAGCTTCCTTAAGATCATATCTAAGATCAATCCTTCATACACTGAAATTATTTAGCGTACAAAATATTCCCATGCACATCTATATAAATATCATGGTTGAATTAGCAGCATCTTCATGTGAAAATGTTCATTTGTAAATACATGTACTGATCATATCATTCATCTTAACTGCATCATTTTCCTATTGTTTATTTATCATTCATCTAAGAAATCCGTACGTGAGTCTAATGACTACTCACTTCTCAACAATCTGTAATCAGCCACCTTTCCTGTGGATACCACTGGTTATAAACCACTTCTACCAAAGCAAATCTAGTTTAACATTACCAGCTTTAGCCTTTTAGAGTTCACTCTTATTTCTTATCAAATTTCTTATCATTATATCTTGTCCTACAACAGATTATTAATCAAACCACTCATGGAAAAGTGTCATTATCATAAAGAAATTCCAAATAACGCATTGATTCTTCGTGATCTCCTTGTACACAGATACAGCAAAGAATGCATGCTTGCTAAAATGTGAAGATGCTGGTCATATCTGGTGGCTGACTAATTTCAGTATAGCTGTCAGAGGAAAAGTGGAAACAGCCAGTACTGAGTTTATCGGAAGGAGGCCTGGCATGGATGCGGCTTCCTTTTCTAAACATTTTCAAGCAGTAAAATAGATAGTCAGGGCTTGGAAGAATATGAAGAGTGGAGCAAAAGAAGAAATCGGGTGAGCATTAGTGGCTGATATCAAAGTGCTGCTGGCACATGTTTGACAATGGATGTATAACATGGTTGGGAAACTAGGGAAGGGACCATCACGTACAGCAGCACAAATAATGTGGAATGAGTTGGCTTCTGAATGGGACAAGAACTTCAAGAATGCACACGTGGTTTTGGATAAAGTTTACAGATCAGATCGGCAAAGGTAGAGTGCTTCAGATGTGGTAAAGGGCAGAGAGCTAAATCTCCGAGAAGCACTTGACATTTCCCAAAGCAATAGTCAAGCACTGTCATTTTGTTTGCCCACATGAAAAGTCACTTGCTAACATGCACGTAAGTGTCTCACACTCTATAATACATGCTGGCACACTTACCTCTCACAATCCCAGCCCTTGCTCCCTGACATGACATTGTTACCATGAATTTTGAGATACTTGCTTAGGACTACCGAATCTGGAGATAACAGCAACTGCACCTGTCCTACAAAAGCAAACAATGCCAAGGAATACCAGGCTACAGGAGAAGGATGTCACATCATCTGGTATTTAACACCCTATAGAGAAGCAGAATTGCCCATTGATGGCTTCCAAACTAGCCTGAAAAATAGATGCAGATTTGGGAACCTGTCATCAGTAGGATCATGAGAATCTTTTCTTATTTAATGTTCCAATGTGTTCTTCAATCTCTTTCCCAGCTTCAACTTCCTTTATAAAAAATACAAAAAGGATTTGATATTTGATTGTTATAGGAAATTCTTCAAATTGATTAAAATTAACGGTGTAGTTAGTAATAGTAGACTTCAGAGACTGCCAGCTAAAAGCCTGTATAGAACATCACAGAAAAGCAAGATTTTGTAGTCTACTCCATTGCTGGTGACATAGCAACAACTGTGTCATGTGTTGTTTCACATGCACAACCTCCCAGGGACTCCAACTCAAAGCGGTATAGGTGTTGTGGATGAAAAATTGAAATTTGGTTTGACCCAGCGCACAAGGTAGCCAGAGGAAGTAGGTGTGGACATGGAGCTGGAGGCACAGGATGTGTCACACCCAGGTGAGACAGCAAACAGTTGATAAAAGTTGAAGAGAAGGATTTGAGCAGTGTATCAGAAATATATGAATGCTCTCCATGGCCTGTCACAAAACCTGCTACAAATGGCTAAGATGGAATGAATGCATCAACATCCAGGAAGGTTCAACAAACTGCAGGACGGGCTGGAGAAGGTAGAAATGATAGGAATGTCAGAACATGTAAATTAATCTCAGTGGCAGACAGTGAATTCAATGTAGAGGCAATGAACGAAAATGCACTGTCATTAGATGGACCATGAACAGATACAAGAATAGACATCTGACACCCTGAGGGATGAACTAATGAGCTCCGTTCTTGCAGTAATAATCTTGCTGCAGGTTGGCACATGGCTTTTTGGAGGTTGTGTCCCTGTATGACAGCAGTAAAGTGGTAAGTGACTGGAATAATGATGTTGAAGTGAAGGTTTCAGATTCCCTAGCCACTGAGACACTGTTTGAACCAGGTAAACTTCTACAGAGGATTGCTGTTACTTCATTCAAAGGGGAGTGGGACAGTGGACAATGGTTCAAACTAGTTTGGAGGGCAGGAAGAAATAAGTCACATTGTAAGGCAAAAAAAGTGAGAAAAATACCAGCAGGATCTATGGACGTGGTGGGAGTAGTTACCCAAATAAAAGTTTGATAATTCTGAACTGTACTGCTTTATTAGAGGAATAATACACCGTGCAGGGAGGGTTCCACAGTATAAATGTGAAGAAGAACTGCAATATTTGCAATGAATGTCAACGTACAGCCAAAGATCTCCATAAGTAAATTCAATGGACAGCATTTCCCCCATAGCTTCCACATGAATGTGTGACTCCAAACAAATTGTGGCTTTTTAAACAATGAAACGTATCATTAGAAGCAAATGGAAGGCAAAAGTCTTGTTCAATAAGATAGTTAATGCTGCAACGTTCTAACTATGTGATTTGGAGCTTCCTGCCACTGCGAGGGTAGGCACTTCAACCCAGAATGAAAATATGGAATTCCAGCCAAATTATTTTTCAAGTACAAAAACAGTAATTGCTGGAAGAACTCAGAAGGTCTGGCAGTATCTGTGGAAAGAAAGGAGAGATAACTTCTCAGGTTCAGTGACCCTTCTTCAGAAGTGATTGTAGCTAGGGCGAAGGTTGGTATATATGCTGACAATGGGGTGGGGAGGAGGGGACAGAAATAAACGACAGATGGATATGGAGCCCAGAGAGAGGAAGAGAGAGTACCAGTCGGGCAGATAAAGAAATGGATAAATGTCAGCCTGGGAAAGTGAATAGCTGCCAATAGGGAGCATCAGTAACTGAGAAAGAGTTGATTATGGTAGCAGCTTATGTGATGTCAAGAACTGGTGTGTGGGGGTTGGGGTAAGGACAAGGGAGAAGCCCTAAAATTATTGAATGCAATGTTGAGTTCTGAAGGCTGCAGGGTTCCCAAGCGGAAAATGAGATACTGTTCTTTTAGCTTGCGCAGAGCTTCACAATTCCTTGAATTACCTGTGATGGTTTGGCGCTAGCATGCCAGCTATTTTAGCAATATTCAATATTAAAATGATGACATGCACATATGTAAGATAAATGTACATAAAGATGATGAACATGTAAATAAAATGTGCATAATATCTATCAGAACTAAAGTATTTTAGTATAATGGTATTAATGTAAGTTCATTTCTGTTGCAATCATTTCTTTTTCTGTCTAAGAATTGATATTAAGAAGGCTCCATAATTTATGTCTCAATTCATTTTGGAAAATCAGTGAATGTTAAGGGTTAGTTAAACTATGTAGATTCAGAATGAGACTAGTTAATTTGTACGGCTCTTATCCAAGAGTCTTGTTAGAAATCTGAACAATTTTTCCTCCACTATATTATTGCTCAGAAACACATTTCAAAATATATTTTGGTACTGAGCATGCTCAACAGATGAACAAAATGGTCCTGATTAGACTAACATTTTATTATCTAAAAGATTTTTAATTTTTTTTCTCTCAGATGCAACATTTCCTCAGTACCACAGACAAATTGATATAAGAATGAACTTGAGCAGTGTGCAAATTATGACAGTTCCAGGTAGTAATGCAGTTAATGCAACTACCAGATATAGCCAATATCATCATCTTTGTCATCTTCACTATCTTCATCATCTTCATTGGCTCCACCCTGAGAAACTTTCTCTTCCTCTTCATTCTGTGTTTCTCTCTTATCATCCTGGTCATCAGACAAAACTTGGAACACACCACTACCAAAATCACCAGAATTCTCTTGATCTTCTTCTGAAAGTAAAAGATTAGGGCCTTAAAATATTGCCTTTCAAAAAAAAACCCAAGTAAAATGCCGTTAATGTACTCCATGTGCCACATTAAGTTTTGAATATTCAGCTGAAACTATTTTGGAAGTCATATTTTACAATGTTAAAGAGGAGAAATATCCATGTTGTGAACATAAAACTTATAAGGACATGGTTGAAATTAAACAAGCTTATTTAAAACTAAAAATCAGTTGGCTCCCATCTATATTAAAAAGATTGGCACTTGAAAATCTTAATGGTAATGAGCATTTTCTGAACTGAATATATGGAAGAAAATATTCAGTTCAGCTAAACAGGAAACAACTACTATTGTAAATCACATATATTGTGAACATTTATTGCTTTTCCACTATTTGAATCTTGAAGTTGGTAGTATTAGTGGAGTAATGCTTAACCTGATTAATTATAGTCTTTTGCGAATTAAACATGCAATAATCCTTTATATATGAATAACTTGGAGGAAAGAAGTGTATCTACTGTAGCCAAATTTGCAGACAACACAAAAATAGGTGGAAAGGCATGCTGCGAGAGGGATACAAACAGTTGACAGAGAGATATTGATAGGTTACGTAAGTGGACAAAAAGTTGGCAAACAAAGTATAATGTGGGAAAATGCAAAGTTGTTCACTTTGGAAGGGAATTCAAAAGAACAGAATATTATGTAAATGGAAAAAGAATGCAGAAAGCTGCAATGGAAAAGTACTTGGGGATACTTTTATATGAAACCCGACAGAAAGCTAGCACACAGATATAGCAGGTAATCAGGAAGGATAATGGAATATTGGCTCTCTTTTCAAGAGTGTTGGAATACAAGAGTAGCAAAGTCTCACTGCAATTGTACAAGGTGCTGGTGAGGCCACATCTGGAGTACCGTGGGCAGTTTTGGTCGATTTATTGAAGGAAAGATGTCATTTCATTGGAGGCAGCTCAGAGAAGGTTCACTAGGATGATCCAAGGTATGGAGGGATTGTCTTGCGAACAAACATTTGGTACTGAAGTTTAGAAGAATGAGGGGTGATCTCATTGAAACATATAGGATTCTTAAAGGGCTTGTCAGAGCAAATGCTGAGAGGATGTTTCCCCTCATGAGACAGTCAAGGATCAGGGGCACCAATTTCAGACTGAAACGAGGAGGAATTCTGTCTCTCAGAGAGCAGTACTCTTCGGGACTTGTTGCCACACAGAGTTTGGTGGCATAGTCCTTGCCTATATTTAAGGCTGAGATAGTATCTTGATTAGTCGGGAAACCAAGGGGAAAGGGAAGGATAAAGCTGGATGTGAAGGATGTCAGTTCAGCCATGATCCGAATGAATGGTGGAGAAGGATCATTGGGTCAAGCAGCCTACTCTTGTTCCTATTTCTTATAGTTCTTTATTTTAAATGGGTTAACTGGTTTTGAAAAATGGTAGGGAAATATTATATGGACAATTTACATTTTGTTGTCCTTCAATATCAGCAACACTAATTTCTCACATTTGCCACAGAACTTTTAAAATCTATTTCTGAAGACAGTTGCCTATATCATCATGCCATTTTACTTTGATAGATGGGTTATGATGTTTCTTTGCAATTTACAGAGAAACAGTCTCAGTCAGGTTCACAATTCAGGCTTGCTATCTTTCTCTTTATTATTAATGATGTCATAACTTATAATTCAATAATATCCAACCCTTCAAAGGTTGATTTTACTAAACTGATTCATTGTACACAGTAAGTGGTGCCAACCATATCCAACAATGGGAACCTTAATCTTAAAGGAAGGCCAATAAATTCAACTGTAGTCATCAAAGATGCATGCGGCAGTTTGTTTCTTATTCTGTATCTAGCAAAGAATTTCAATAATACTTTGTTGCCCTGTTCTCTATCTCAAAAGAAGAACACAGCTTAATAGTGAAAAATCCCCTACTTTGGCTGGTCTTACCACAGATTGGAGTCCCTTCTCTCCGTGAACCTGCTAGTTCATTTCCATATTTGTCAGCACACCAGCACTGTCCAGAGCTACTGTGACACTGGATTGGTTTGTAATATCCATCCTCATTGCACCTTGGTATAAAAGCACCTAAAGAAACCAGAAAGAGAAAAATTGTGATAAAATGTTTAACTTAATATTTTCAAAATATTGCATTGGTTTAACCAATGGCTCAATACATAACAATTTTCATTTAGTGCCTTGCAAATATCAAACCTTCCCATGCTGCTTTTCAAGGAGAGGTAAGATACTGAGCGGGGGATGTTTGGGAAAGTAATCAAAGACACAGTCAAAGAATGTAAAAATCTTCTGAATTTCATAGGGTAAAAGGAAGTGCCAGAGTTTCCACCACCCTGGTGGGAGTGGCAGCACTATATAAAATTAGATCAGAGTCTGGAGAGAAGATGGTGTGAGCTGGGACATAGATCTGGAGAAGGGCTGAGTGTGGTCATGCAGGTATTCAAATATCAGGGGCAAGGCTTTAAACTCAATGCAGTGTGGACATTGGACAGGAGTGATGAGTACAACAAAGTGCAGACTGCAGCTTACCATATATATAAGTAATATACGGTAGATACGGTGGAAATAAAAACAGAACATGCTAGAAATATGGTCAGACAGGATCTGTGAAAAACAAAATAGAATGCATACGTCAGGCTGGTAGCGTTTCATTTGAGTACTAATGACAGGACACAGACCTGTACCTTTACTTTGCTTCTCTTTCCACAGATGTCATTGTTTATGAATATTGCTTACATTTTCTGTTTTGATTTCAAATGTCTAGATGAGTTTGGGGCTTGTGATGGGTGAACAGAGGAACTAGTGAGGAGAGTATTGAAGAATATATACATATGGGTTTGAGTGATACTGCATTTGAGATAGAGGCAAGCAATCATTCAGACATGGAAGTAAACCTTCTTAGTTAGGCTTGGATGCCGAAGGTAAGTGTACATCAGGGTTGAGCAGGTCATGGAGCTTGCACACCTTTTGGTTCAGTCTGAACCAGCAACAGATGAAGGAGATGTAATCAGTTTCCGAGGATGCCTTCAGTCTTGCAAATGTTCAGTTGAAGAAATAGTTGGCTCTTCCCAGACACTGGGCAGATAAACAGCACAGCCATAGGCTTTAAGGGTTAAGGCACAGAGATGGAGTTGGGTGCCATCAGCGTACACATGGAAGCCAATACCATATTTAAAGATGATATCAAAGAAGGATTGTGTCTAAACAAGGAATAGGAGACAATGAAACCTGTGGGACAGGAGAGGAAGAGGAAGTGGGATACATTTGAGTTGTGGGAATTTGATAAAAAGATGGGTGAGATGGATTGAATAAAATTGGATGGAAAGATTTGGATTTAAAAGAGGGAATTGTCATGAAGGTGGAAGATAGAGAAGGTTTAATGTTAAAGCCCAGTCAAATAGCAATAGAGAGGAATGCAATGGTCAACTTATGAAAGGCCAGAGGAAAGCTGAGGAAGATGAAGGTCAATAAAACAATAAACTTGCTGTTAACTTTGACAGGGTTGTTCTCAGTACCATAAAAATAGGAGACTAAATTGCAATAAGTCTAATGGTTGCAGTATCTTGGAGAAGAATGAGAGGCTTGAGTGAGTTGGACACTGTTTTCATGACAGCAGTTTTAAACAGAGACAAAACAATCTCTGAGAAGACTGATGTTAGTGAATATTGAGCCAAGGAATTATAATTGAGTAGAGAAGCTTGGTCAGTTAGTTCCTTTTTTGTTAGGTCAGTTTTATACTGTTTCAATTGAAGATGTTTCATTCACTGGAAATGAGTTCCATTTTCACTGTTTTCATTCTTCCTTTCTTCCTGAAGGTAGTTTGTTTATTAAAGGTTATGCTTTCAGGATGCTAAGTTGCTATTATCCATATGAACCTTTACAGGAAATGTCAGAAAACTTTGCCTCTATGAAGTATCACTCTCAAACACAACTGTGTCTTACTTTACATCCACATAAGTGCATTCCAGGGTTCAGTGCATTGTAACTAGGGGTGAAAAGCCTAATGAGTTGTATCCGTCCCAACCCTTGGGCATTAAGGAAGTTACTAACAACCTCGCACTATCCTAGTTTGATCATTGAACTGAACACAAACTGAGATCACAGCCTGGATTGTTCAAATGTTTACTGCATAAGTCACCAAGTCAGAAACCTAACTGCTCAAACAAAGGACAACAACATAGTTTTTGAGTCAAGTTGTTGTAGTCTAAATTTGGTCAATTTCAGTCATGTCCAATTTTGAATGCAAAAAGAAGTGTTGGTACATATGTGCACTATGCAAGTGCTACTCCATATATAAAATGACTTGGTGTATTTCATGGGAAATGTAATATGTGCAGTGAGAAGCTCTCTTACAGATGGGAGTAATATGCCCAAATAAATATCTTTAGTCATCCTCTGCAGTTGGAACCATAATGATATTCTTCAGCAAAAAAATAATTTTTGAGCCATGTGTGTTGGAGACATTTTGAAATGATATATTACACATATGCAGATCTCTGTTCCTCAAGTGGACATATTACCTCTCGTCTAACAGTCTACTTTGAATTCAGACTTCAGATTAAACAGGAACAAAATCTTCCATTTTCTGAATCCCTAAATAAGTCTCAATGCAGCATAAAATTATTTTGAAAAGAGAGTAACACACCATTAGGATGGTGAATAGTGTTTTTGCAAGTGCAGCAAGCAAATATTTCATTTTTATATTGAGAATCCCCTGATAATTTTCTTTAATATTTGCTGTAGATGCAGTGAGTAGACTTGACATCATTTTAGTGATATTTGAACCATTGCAGTTGTATATTTGGATTTATTTATTTAAAATTGTATGCAGATAGACCATAATTTTGTTGTGCCTTTGAAAATACATATTAATGTATCATTCTACACTAATTTAGTTTGGTGTTTATTGACTGCTGAGTGAATTCCTCCTATCAATGGCCCTTTCTATCCTTGCATTCCATGTTTTTAATCATCTCATGCTCAATCATTCTGCCAGAATATTAAAAGCAATTCACTACCTACCTGACTGTCCGTTTGACAATACCCGCTTGCTAGCTTGAGGGATGAATACACCAGTTTGTGTGACAGCAAGTAGAGAATGGGACGGGGAGGGTTTGGAAAAGAACCAGAAATATAAAGGAATAGATGGTGTTTTGAACCATTTGTGATTTCCAATGAACTGCAGAATTTTAAAAAGTTTACATTGTCACATTTAGAATACAGGTAGACGTACTGCACTACAGTATTGTGAAGTTGAAGAAAAGTTCAGTGAGGTGAACAGGACAGACATGAAAAATTCATTTCAACAACTGGGTTGTTCCAGCTCTTTTCTGATCTTTTCATTCCATACCGTAAATATAAAGCGGAATAACAATAACGTTTGAAATTAATGGTAGATGTGCTACAATTTTGAAACCACTTTCAACTCATCTCATCCTAATGAATCATAATCAACCAGATTTATTTATCTTTTATAGATTTTCAGATCACACACCATTGAACTCTAATCAATCACACTATGTAGTTCTCATCACATTACAATGCTTACCTAAAAGATGTTTCCCTCTGCTCTGCCTTTGAATCTTATTAATTTCAGCTTGGCATGGAAGACCTGAAATGGAATTTAACAGATAGTAGGCCCCAATTGGTTGCGAATGATACCTTCAATAACTGACCTCTGCATAAACATTACTGCATTTTGTTTTACACTTGATATTCAGAAAGCTGCACATTTTCACATAAAGCAGAGGATAGCATTCAATTACAATGCTTAAAAAGTAAATTACAATTTTTCACAATTTTCAATACCTCAAGAAAGGTCAATGGATGTATCATGACGGCAGATGTTACCTTTCCTGAAAATGTGCATAAAGCTATAAATCACTGGACGTAAAGTTATTTTCTCATACAGTTTGAATTTAATATTTTAAATCAACTGTCAGTGTCCATTATGAAGTTGTGATTGCAAAAGCAGCTATCTGATGACGGTCAGCTGAACTTTCATTGTTCTGATAGTTAAAAGTACAATCAGATGGTGCTTAACATCTCATTCACCAAAAGTAAATTTGTCAAACAAAAATGGAAACCATCAAAACCAATATATGAGGCCTTGATTGTCTTGAAGAGAATGTGCATTTCAACTACAGCTCATTGTAAATATTTTATTAAACTGTCCATCGATTGGAGTTATACTGAGCACAAAGGATGGTGGTTGTGGCTGTTGGAGGGCAGTCATCAGCTCCGGGACATTTTTATAGGAGTTCCTCAGGTGGTGTCCGAGCTCCAACCATCATTAGCTGCTTCAATGACCTTCCCTCCTGCATGAGAAGTGGAGGTGTTTGCAGGTGATTGCACAAAGTTCACCATCATTTGCAACTCCTCTGATACTGAAGCAGTCTATGCCCAAATGCAGCACGACCTGGCCAATATCCAGATTGACAATACTGGGCTGAGAAGTGGCAAGTAACATTTGCATTGCACAAGTGTCAGGCAATAGCCATCTCCAACAAGAGATAATTTACATCTTAATAGTGGCATTTTCAAATGCCACTGTGGGAATCATGATCCAGTTACCTTGTCACACAACACTGCTTTAAATACTGTGTCACAGAATTGTACACAAGGTTCTTCCAATCTAGTTTATTGAATTTACTATTTACAAAATGATTTCAGATACTGTGGGAGATTGAATGCAGACCAGGTAACCACTTTTCTGGTGATCCCTATTCTGTCTGCAATAGTGACTCGGACTTACACATACCGCATTCTTAGTTTCACTCTGATTTGTCCTGTTCCAATTGAGTTCATATAAGCTCCCAGAACATTATTTCACCTATTTTCTGGGAATGCTGCCATACCTAATTTTACTGACTTCAGATATAAGCTATACCCTCGATTTTCTATTCATCAAGGGATGTTGGCGAAGTAGACAGAGAGAGAGAGACAGCAGCATGTGGGTTGATGGTATGGTTGCTGAGTCTTTGTCAGAATATAGGTCAGGAAAGATTCTACTGTCTATGGCCCCGAGGCCCCTTCAGTTATATTACAATGATGGATCCTACAGAACTCACAACACTGGAACGGTACAGTTGTTCTCTAACCCCAAGGACTGGCAGGGAAGGCCATGACACCATGTCTTGCCAGTCTGATCCAAGGTAGTGACCCAGGCCTGTACAGTTTCAGTGCCCAGCAGTGTAGGAAGAAGGCCAATGACCGCCTCCACCCAGCCAGTGCCACCATCTTTCCTCTGTTACATCACACTCACTATCTCTGCTACTGTACACACCTCCCACCAAGACAAATAGTCGATTGTTCGCACTACTGCTTACAACATCTTCCCTCATTCATGCTCTCCCATCCAAAATGCTCAGGGTACCTCATCACTTTTCCCCCCATGTGCACCAGCATTTGCAACTTTGCCATCCACTTTCACCTCACTCATTCCTGTCCTTTATTTCATTCCAGGAGTAAATGGTCTATAAGACAGCTGGAAGAAGATGGTAGGTTGCCCAACATTTAGCTCCTCACTGCTCAGAAGGACATGAGCCTGACTCTGACTGTGTAAGTGGTTAACTAGCTGTATCCAAGCCCCTGCACTGATATTAGTGGCTGCTCTTGACTTACTGTGCTTGGGGAACCCTGCCTAAAGGGTGTCTCCCCTAACCTGACAGTGGGCTGCGCCCCTTTGACTTTGAGACAAGGATAACTGGTTGAAGAACATGCCGTGTGTTTGCCACATGGGCTATTGACACAAAGTGGTGATGTGACATTGATGTGGTACAGTGCCATGCAACAACATGTCCACCCCCTTGACTGATCACTGCTGATAAGCATGACAACCTTCCTGACTTTATGCCTGTACTAAAAGAATTCAGCTGGTATTGAGTCATAGAGTCAAGGATCGCTTGTTAGGAGGCAAAGACCAAAAAGGCCAAGTATAGGAAGGCAGGGATGCCATTAGCATTCAGATAGGCTCAAGGTGAGTGAGTGCTAAGAGAGTGAGCGATCAGCCCTGAGATGCAGTATGGTCTAATCCCTGACAAACCGATGGGAGCTCAAGACAGACAAATCCCTCGGCCCTTGCATCCAAGGATCCTAAAAGAAGTAGCTACAGAGATAGTGGAAGCGATCTGGTTGTGATTTTTGAATGTGAGCAGTTTACAGAGAGATGTCAATAGGTTAAGTAAGTTGGCAAAAAGTTGGTAAATGGATTATGATGTAGGAAAATGTGAAGTTCAGTTTGGACGGGAGTTCAAAAGATATTTAACTGGGGAAAAACTGCAGAAAGCTGCAACACAAAGGAACTTGAAGATACTTGTGTATGAAACACAGAAAACTAGTACACAGGTACAGCAGGCAATCAAGAAGGCTAACGGAATGTTGGCCCTTATTTCAAGGGAGTATAACAGTAGGGAAGTCTTACTGCAGCTGTACAAGGTGCTGGTGAGACCACACCTGGAGTACTGTGAGCAGTTTTCATTCACTTATTTAAGAATAGATATCACTGCATTGGAGGCAGTTCAAAGAAGGTTCGCTGGAATGATCCCTGGTTTGGAGAGACTGTCTCATGAGCAAAGGCTAAACAGGTTGGAACTCTACTCCCTGGAGTATAGAGGAATGAGTGGTGATCTCATTGAAACATATAGATTTCTTAAGGGGCCTGTCAGGATAAATGCTGAGAGGATGCTTCCCCTTATGGGAGAATCATGGCAGCAGTTTAAGGCTGAGATGAGGAGGAGTTTCTTCTCTCAGCGGGTTACGAGTCTTTGGAACTCCTTGCTACAGAAAACTGTGGGGCAGACTCTTTGTTTATATTTAAGGCTAAGATAGATAGATTCTTGATCAATAGGAGAATCAAGGGTTACAGGGAAAAGATAGGAAAGTGGACATGAGGAATGTCAGATCAGCCATTAACCGATTGAATGGTGGAGCAGGCTCGGGAGGGAGGGTGCTGAATGGCCGACTCCTCTTCTCATTTCTTATGATCTTATTGTCATATACCCTTCAACATTCAGGACCTAATCTTGTAACCCTGCAACTTCTCTGTATTGGCTATCAGATCATATTTATTTACTTCAACTTATGTGCATTCAGATACAGAGCCTTTAGTTTTGTCTTTTTGTTATGATTGTAACATCTAGTTTTGACTGTTGGTGTGGAGAGGCTGGTAAGATGTCCATTGCCAGTGTCTGTGATAGTGGGATTCGGACAGTTTCTATCCATAGATTCTGAGATTTTGGTGGTAGAACACATGAGCACATAGTAATAGAGCATAGTAATGATGTAACAATGAAGGCTATAATGAACAATAATCCCCACGATAAGCCTCTCACTGCTCACTTGTGAGAGTCTCGTGTCAATGTCTAGAACTTAGTTGGAAAAGAAACGACTTGTCACGAGACATCTCACACAATTGTCCCAAATTTCTCCCCAGAGGCCACATTGCTCAGGGCCGAAAGGTTCTACCCAAGTTTCTCAGTTACTAAAATATATCACAATAAACATAATGAAAAACATTTAACTGGTATTGAGCGATTGGATCAGGAATTCTCTGCAACTAATGGTTGGAAGTTTAGAAACGATAACTGGACTTCTTTGGTCAAACTAAACTTAGAGAAAACAATAATTCAACCACAGCTGCTGGTGAATTAATTAGTTAATGACATGAGGCAGACACAAGGCACTTAAACTGTTACATTTCTATATCTCAATACCTGGCCATAGGAATAGTAGGCCATTCAATCCCTAACGTCTCCACCATCAACAAGATTATGGCTGATCTGCCCAAGGCCTCAACTCCTCTTTAGCCCTCACCTTCCTGATATTTCAAAACTTCATTCACTTCGTCTTTAAATACTTTTAGTGATCTAACCTCCTCTCCAAGTTACAGAATTCCAGACATTCATTATACACTGACAGAAGAAATTCTTTCACATCTCTGTTGGAAATGAGTGTGCTGTTGCACTGTTCCCTAGTTTGAAACTCCCCCACTAGTGGAAACATCTACCCAATGTTTATCCAGTCAAGCCTCCTTAGAACCTTGTATGTTTCAAGAAGACAACCCCTCATTCTTCCAAACTCTAATGAATAAAGGTGTCTTCTGTTTGGGTGCTCTTGATAGATCAATCTCTTCACCACAGGAAAGCAGCCTAGAGAATCTCTTTTGAACTGCCTCCAATTCCAGTATACCCTTTCTTAAATACGGTGACCAAAATGTACACAGTACTCCTGCTCGCCCTCACCCATATGCTGCACAGTTATAACAAGACTTCCCTACTGTTAATCTCCAAACCTCCAAAAATTGCATTTGGTTTCTTAATTACTGCAGGGCCTGCAGCAGTTTAAGAAGGCAGCTCACCATCACCTTCTCAAGGGCAACTAGGGATGGGCAATAGATGCTGGACTGCCAGTGATACCCATGTCCCACAACTGTATAAATAAATAAAATTACTCGCTGCACCTTCACACAAACCTTTTGTGTTTCTTGCATAAGAGCAACCAGATCTCTCTGCTCGACACTTTATTGATGTCTCTCTCCAGTTAAATGATAGTCTGCCTTTTCATTCTTCCTTCCAGAGTGCAAAACCTCACAGTGTCCTCCATCTTTCGAGT